GGTTATACACCAAAATGACCCGATGTCCAAAATAACATTTCTTTGAAAAGTAAATGATGGCCAAGTTTTTGGTCTCAAAATTGAACCCATTAACTCTGCAGCTTCAGCAACAAAAATCAGTTTGTTATACCGGCAGCAAAAGTAACAATGTGTATCATCTTTTATGTGACAACTTAATGAAATAGTTTAGAAATGGTGATATCGATAAATAGTACCACTAATTTTTATCACACATGTCTTCTGTTCATTGGTCCAATATATACACTTGTCCCACTTTAATACACTTGTCCCACTTTTTTCCTACATATTTGTTTTTGATTAATTTACAAGATAATCTAAAAAAACTAATAATGAAGAAACTAACTAAAATTATCCAATGTATCGAAATTATAGTCATTAAATTTAGGATAATTAGTTAGTTTTTAAATTATAAAATTTTTGTTAGTAATTTTTTTTCCTAAAATTTTTGGTCGTATTCATATTTAAAAGAAATTACATAAGAGAGAGATGCATATAGCTAGTTACTTTCGGTCATAAACCATTGGAAAGAAAGAAAAAATCATTACAAAGAGGATCAAGTTCCTCTAAACAACAATCCTAGGCAATCCTTGAAGTTTGGTTTGTCCTTGAGAGCCAAACAAGCATCACGGGCCCCTCTGTCTATCTTCTTGAAGAGGATCTCTGCTAAGAGTTTATTGTTTGTGAAAATCCGTTCATTCCTCTGTTTCCAGAGAAAATACATAACGGCTTGAGCCAATAATAGCCTCAGGTTGTTTTCTGCGACAATGGGGTATGTTATCCTTAGTCATCTCAGAAAAACATTCCATGTTCCAAAGCCCATGTAGGGAGCCTTCAACCTTTGAAACGCCATACGCCAGACATCTTGGCTATAAGGACAGTTCAAAAACAAATGGTCCCTGGTTTCAGTGTAAATTTCGCATAACACACAAGTGTCATCTTTAACAACTCCCCTATTTGCAAGTCTAGATTTAGTAGATAGTCCAAACAAGTTAGCCAGAGAATGAAAGCATGTTTAGGGATGTGCCACTCAACTTCAGAGAAGGAAGCTGCTGTTTGTTTCCTAGCAAGCACGAAGGTAAAGTTGTCTTTTTGGGCTGGGCCCAACACCATCTCTCCATTTGTATCCATGCTAATTTCCCGTTTGTTTACTATCAGTGAACCAAATGCCCAAAATAATTATTTTTATTTTAGTTTCTTTAAGAGGCCCGTATATGAATCTTCTATTATATAATTATGGAATTTTCTCTCCTTCTAGAGTGTCCACATAAGCAAAACTATTTCTTAAAATATTTAAGTTTTAAAATGTTCATTTAATACACACTAAATCATATTTATATGTTTTT